TTTCAAGCCTATCTTATGAACAGATTTGCGCGAATTAGTTCCTAGCAAAAGTGTCTGTAAACAATGTGTAGATCTGTCCATTACCAATTACAGGCTAATGATTTGAAATGACATGGACTAAGAAGCCTAATGCATAACTACGTAATCAACTATAAGAATGTTAATAACATAAGAAACAAGCTTTCATCAATCACACAAAGTTTGTCGACATAGTTGTCTTTAACCCAATCCTACGAATGAACTTACACGAATTAGAATGTATCCAAAAAACTAACTAAACAAAAGTTGCTCACAGGCATTCAATTAATTCATCCTATTAGTTCCTCCAAGCAAAAGTGTGTAGAACCATGTTGTCTGTTTGTCCACTACCAATTACAAGCTAATGAATTGAATCCACATAGTCTGTCAACATAATTCCATTCAAGCCAATCCAATGAACAAATTTATATAAACAATAAGAAAACAAGCTTACTTGTAATCATGCCTCCCCACCAAAGAGGCTCCAACAAATATGCATACCCACCAACTCCTATGAACAAAAACCACCAAAATATCATATAAAAAAAAATCAAAACAAAAGAAAACCCAATTGAGATCAGGAGACAGTTTACCTGCACGAACTCCAGAAGCAGCAGCTGCTCTCCTCAGTCCCTTCTTCTTGATGATGAAGCTGGCTCCAATGAACCCACTTGAGAGCAGAGCCAGCGCAAACCCCTTCAGATTGTCTGTAGAAAAACCCATCTCCTAATTTTCGTTATTAATCTCTCTCCTTGTCTCTGTAATGAAAACAAGAAATCTCTGCGACCCACAAATTTCTTTGAGGCAGTTGGAGTGTTGGGTTTTGATTTTGTTGGATTTTTTTTCGGCTTTTTCTACACTTTTCACGCACGATAATATTTACAATAATAGTTAGTGTGTAATTAGATTGATTAATATGTTTTACGTGATATGTTTGGTTTTTTTCTTCTTTTTTATTTATTTTTTTATTCTTTTAAGGAAAAAAATGAAAATTTGCAATTGGGACAGGGATCAGTGATTGTATTGGCCGAAGCGAAAACGAGTAGCAATTATTGTAGATGTGATTCATTTAGCTGTTTCGTTTAAAACAGCAAACAGCGGATTTAAGGAGCATTTAAGCGCCACGTGACCAAAACTGGAGGTTTGAAGCATGAGAGATGACGTTTAAAGGTCTGCCACCGTTCATAATGGAGATTAGGACTAGGGCTGAGCACGGTTCGGTCCAAACCGAAAAAACCGACCGAACCGATCCGAACCGATCCGAAAAAATCGGTTTTATGAGTGGGGTGGTTCGGGTCGGTTTGAAAACTTTTCAACCCGAACCGATCGAATATAGTGCAATACTACCCATTCTGATCTCAAACCCTATCCGACCCGTCCCAAAAGAGTCAAAGAGTCAAACCCTAAACTTATTTTCTGAATTATTATGGGTTAAAAATAATATCATTATATCAGTGTTTAATGCTTCATAATCTCCTACTTTGTTGATATTTTTTTTTCTTTAACACAGTTTGTTGTTTGATAAGAAGTTTGATGAAGTTAGAACCGAACAAACCGAACCGAACCGCACCGAACCGACTTACAACAGTTCGGTTCGGTTGTTCAAAATTTGGTAAAAACCAAACCGAATCGACCGTTGCACACCCCTAATTAGGACACATTGATGAAGATGAGTTACTAAAAAAAATGATTACTACAAGTTTAGGTAGGCTGCAAGAAGATAGTTTCTCTACATATAAATTGTTTATTTATCAAATCTAATATTTAGGAAATTTCTAGCATGGTTTGTAAGCAATAATTCTAAATGAATTATAGTATTATATATGCTTAAAAATGTATTTTGTTTAGAGAAGGTCTCGTTCTTGTATAGGTAAGTGATCGGTACGAAATTTTAGGTTTTATATTAGAAAATATAGTTTTATTAAAATAATATCAGTATTAGGAGTCTAATAATGAAGATGTGAGGTTTAATGCACGAAAATTTTTATATATTAAAGGATTACATCTTGATATCTTGTTATAAATTATAATTACATGGATAATCCTAGAGTCTGTATATCTACATCAATAACTCTAAGACTGCGACTGCATGGGCAATCCTAATGAAAATAACTTTAACACCATTAACTGCTACTTAATTTTATTTGATAAATTTAAGATTATTCATATAGATGTAGGATCTCCTATATAATTATACCATATCACAGTGGATTGGGATACAAATAATCATGCATTAAGAGAATAAAAATAGATGAACAAATGCGTTAGTTGGGTGGAATCAATAGGTGGACCCGACTAGTGTTCTTCAGATGCGGTCAACTAGAAAGGATGGTCATGGGCAGTGCATGTTGGGATGTCCATGGTACATTGAAAACAGACAATAAACTTATTTAAAAACATTTCATCTTTCATGCTCAAAACATATATCTATATCTATATCTATACTCTATACATAAACGATAATTGAGGCGTCAAATTTTGATAGTCCTTTTTACCCCCTCTCAATTTTAATCATTCCAACTTTACTTTAGTTATTTTGTTTATTTAATTTAATTTATCTCAAAGTCTCATTCAATGAGTCCAAAATTAAATTAAATTAAATTAATTGCAAATCACCATAATAATAAGATTTAATTAGTTTCTTAGGCTCTTAGATTCTATCACTTATTTAATTAAAGGCATATGTTATGGATCAAATCGACAAACTACTTTTGCATTTTCCCTTTACATAACCTATTTTTTATTGCTACATTATAAATGATGGTTATCCATTTTCTTCAATCGACCACACCACATACTAAGACAAACTTCTACATCAATTTCCACACCAATACAATGGTTTATAAAATATGTTATATGGAAAACTTGTCAAATGGTTTATAGCGTATGTGGCTTGTATATGTATGTACATGTGTATACAATGGATAATATTTGTTAAATGGTTTGTGGACTTAAAGATCTATTTTTTATGGAGTTCAAGGCTATGTCTCATGTTCAATTTGTGGCTCTTGATTTTATGTTTTGTCTCTTGAATCCTCGAAAAAGAGAAGGATGATAGATTATGAGAAGGTTATTATTTGAAACCCTTGATATTTAAGAGTGTGAAAATTTGATTTGGAACTGAAGATTGTTTTTAGTGTGTACCTTTTTTACCGTGGATTGGCTAGGATCCTTATTGATTTTTTAATACTTAGAATGTATGATCTTATTTTTGGACTTTATGCAAAGTTACTTAAAGATTCCACCCACCCCCTAACAATCACACAATGTTGTAAAGAGCTTTTTGTGTCATTTATCATAAGTTGTGCTATTTCTTTATTCTTTTGAATATAAATCATAAGTTGTGCTTCCTTATTCATTAGATTTATTTATGGTTTAATTCTTAACTAATTTCTTGGTTCGTATACACTTTAGTTTAAATGTGCTATCAACTTATCTAACGCTTTCAATGTTCCTTATCCTTTTAATTACTAGTTGAGATGCACGTGCAATGCAAATTGTTAAATATCATGATTATTTAAATTAATAAAAATAGAATACAAATAAAAAAGAAAAATAATTTTTTTGTGGGATTGATCATCAACTCAATAATTTCTCTTTCAAATAAAATATTATTATTATTTAATTCAACCCAGGCCGTGATCATGTGATCTACTATTTATGAGTTATTATAATGATATTACTATTTAGTATTAAATCAATATTATTATTAAGATTATATGACCCTTTTTAATAAATTATAAAGTATAAATGTGAAAACATTGATGCTTATAGGCAGTAGTTTGGCCCCACAAAATAGATTAATTTTACGTTGTAGTTTGCTAGTGGTAGTATTGTCGGCAATACCATTACTTTTCATCTTTATCATATTATTCACTATTATTCACACTTTTCTGATGTAAGTTCTCTTTTGCTAATCACTAAATTGGATATGTTTAGTTTTTTTATAATATCACAGGTTAGGATATTCTCTTCTGTTTAAAAAGTATTGACATGATTTTCTTAAAAAATATATACACATAGTAGGAATAGTATATATTTCCATTCAACTCAAATATTGGTTTGAAGCCATTTAGAGTGATGTCCTTTCTACGCTAAAATGGTGATTTAGTGATTACACAATACAAAAGTCAAAGAAGAAATTTCTACAAAGGAAAATTAATTTAATATGTTAAATTAACAACTAATTTATAAAATATACATGGGCATTGCAGATAACTATTGCAGGCTGTCTAAAAATCACAATAGATAGCTTATTCCCCATCAAATACCGATGATGGAAGTTACAATCTGACGACTTCCAGAATGTTACAATTTGAAGACTTTTACGTAGATCGATGAAGGTTACAATCTGACGACCTTCACAACAACTGATGAAAGCTCTAATCAACAACCTTCACAATTAACATCGGGAGTTATAATCTGACGACTCTCACATATCAAAGAGCTAAAGCAAAGATTACAAAACGACGATCTTTGCAACGTTCTGACAGAAAGAGACTACAAATCGACGGTCTCTTCAAACCAAGACGTGGAAGTCCTCCCCGCGAACCAGCATCAAGACGCACCATGTTCATAGCCACGAACGCAGCTCAAATATCCGCGGCCAAACGCAGCTCTTAAATCCTGCCAACGCAGCTTCTAACAAGCTGTCAACGCAGCTTCCATCCGCTGCCAAACGCAGCTTCCATCCGCTGCCAAACGCAGCTTCTAAGATGTCAAACGCAACTTCCAACAAGATGTCAAACGCAGCTTCCAACATGATGCCAACGCAGCTTCTAACCGCTGCGTCCGAGCTTTCAGACACTGCGTTCAAGCTTCCAGACACTACGTTTGAACGCAGAATTTACACCAGAACGTAGATTTTGCGTTTGACTCGTTCAAACACGAGCTGAACAGTTTCAAAACCATTTCCCACGATCTGAGGGGATCACAACTCCACTCAGGAGTGATTTAAGGGGTGGTTACATCCCATTAGCCCCACTTAGGAGCGAATTAAGGGGGCGATTACACCTCTTAATCCCTTATAAATAACTGAAAATCAATTCAGTTCAGGGGTTCTGTCGGTTAGAACTTCTTGGCAGCAACAGAAGAGATCCTTGGGTAGGATTTTGAGGAGATCGACGTCATCCCTCAGCAACATTCGGCAACAGGAGCTTTCTTCATCCTTGGCTTATAACCGACTTTCGGTTAAATCAACTCTTTCATAGAGTTTTAAACTCGTTCAGAGTTCTCCACAACGTCAAATCGTGAGGAGAAGACCATGTTCCAGTGAATTAAGACGTCGGATCGTCAACGAGAAGCAAACTCGACGCGAGCATTCGAGGGAGGCACTCCATCGCTACCAAGAAGAACCTAGTTTTAAACAAAGGGGAGAATCAAATTCATTCTCCTCTCTTTTGTAATCAGGAAATCCAATTGTAACTGAGATTAAAGGAATACAAATCAATTTTCCTTCGTTTATTTTACTACAAATTTTCCATCAAACAAAAGATGGCGACTCCGCTGGGGACTAGCTTCTCTGACGAAGAAGTGGTGGCGCAATCCGATATTCATCTCACTGGAACAACCGTCGAAACTCTCGTGGTAGAGTTTGATCAAGCCAAGTTTGAGGAGGCCCTCTCCTCCAGATCCCTTAGCCCCAAGGTTATGCGCAAGATCCACAAAGTTTCCAAAGAGACTAAAGCTCCAACTTCTCCAATTACAGCCGGACCACCTAAGGAAGACTGCTCGGACAGCCCCTCCCCCGATGGAGTGGGCTCAGCTTCAGCCAAACCCGCGCCAAGACGACGGGTATCGGGTCGAAAGATGTCCATTGAGGCGACAAACTTGATCAACACAGATGGTGGCGTCGCTGCAAAGGCCTTGAAGCAGGCTAAGAAGAACGCC